AACCACCTCTGAAGGCGCCTCATGTGAAGTAGGCCAAGCGGAACCACATGTGGGCTGCTGACATCGTCCCAGGAGTCGCACGACAGGCAGAACTGTCACTAAGCTGCAGGGTTTGACACGGCGGAGCTGGGTTTGACACAGAGGAGCTGAGCTGATAGAGCTTCGGCTATCAGCTGTGATAAATGGCTCTCATTGTGGTTGCGTTTAGCTCCACTTCCAGATAAATAATCATCTGGGACGGACGAACGTAAGTTTTTCCCAGTTTATAGAAACCCCAGGTTTAGCAGGTGGAACACTAGCGTTTTGGTCTGTGCGAGAGATTTCTAACTGGACCGAGCTAATAAGAGCAGATTGTCCAGATAAAAAGATTTCTCATTCCTGCCATGTGTAACGACTGCAGAGCCGTCTCAACGCATTTCGAGAACATTTGCGGGGTGTTTCAGAATTATGGAAATGTGAAAATATGCGCTCTTCAGATCTATGGAGGTGAAAACCAGTCGTTCTGATGAAGTTCTCCAGCAGTTGTTTGTCAGCATGTGGAATTGTCTCCCCATGATCGAATTGCTGAACATGAACAAGTCGAGAATGGGTCTCATCCCTACGGTTTTTTAAAATCAGAACCAGGAAGTAGTGGGAGAAAAAAAAAACATATTTTCTTCTCTGTTGGGAACTCTGGAAATCACGTTTTTCGTCAGAAATTCCTGACCAGGCTGCAGTCTCACATAGAGCTGAGGTGAGCCGTCGTGCACCGAGCGGAGGCGTGAGCGCTTTCTGAGTGAGACACCGTTTCGGTGGAGGCTGCAGCTGTCGTGGAGAAAACACGTTTACTCCCGCTGCGCTGTGCGTGGGCAGAAATTAAAAATGGGCTCTGGCTGAAAAACGAGGGATTTTACCGGACTCGGTTTGCTGAAAAAAAACATAATTTTAGCTAACGTGGCAGATGAGTGTTTTGTGATATTTACTGAACTGTGGAGCCATTTAAAACGCTGTTTAAAGGTCACTGGCTCGTTCTGTGTGGGGAATGTGTGAAGAGAGGCAGCTGAGAGATCAGCTGATCTGACAGTCTCAGATGAACAACTTTACTTTCAGAGGTGTTTTTGTTTTATATCAAAAACATACATCATCAAAAAGCACATACCTTCCCCTCAAGGATCTGTTACCTGGTGGAGGGAGCCGGCAGAGGAGCGGGGCGTGAAGTCGCTGCCGCAGCTGTGTAGCACCTCTGGTGCTGTTGCTGGCCAAGGCGGTCCCTCCAGCGGCCAGAGGGACAGATGGACTGTGACGTCACCAGATGGTGTACAGACTGTACAGAATCGGACCTCTGCGATTTCTCAAGGATGGTCCTGAAGTTGGCCCCGAACAGTGCCTCTGGGGTGATGGGGCCCTCCAGCAGGTCTTTCTGCTGCCTCTCTGACAAGGATGGCGAGAGGCGGAGCCAAGTGGTCCTCTGGATCATGGTCATCCAGACAGCGATGCAGGACAGGCAGATTGCAGAGGTGGCACATGTTTAAGATGACATCAGCAGCTTTACAGAGAGAGCTCTTGTCTCCTCCAGCAGGTCTGCTTCCTCCAGCCTCTTAGAGATGCTGTAGGCCAGCAGGGCGATGTTGATGTTCGCTGCGGCCGTCTGGGATGATCACTGGTGAGCTCGGTTGGAGACCTTGTCACCATCTGATCATGCTTCCCTGGAGGGACAGGTTGCTGGTCCATCCTGGAAGCTTTTGCCCCAAGTGCCACCACCAGGCTTGGCTGGGGGGGGGGGGGGGGGGGGGTTGATAGGTAAAACCCTCCTCTCTGGAGATGGAGGCGAAGGTGGAGACGGATGTCTTTAGCTTGCTGGCCCAGCTGCAGCCTTGTTCCAGTGTGACGTCACAGCTGGACAGCGAGGCCAGTTGGGGTCAGAGTGACGAGTCGGGGCGGAGTCAACCTTGCTGCCAGATCGTCCGATCAGGGCGGAGGGAGGCGAGGGACGGAAAGTCCCTTGTGTTACATCCTCCTGGATTATGACAGGCAGCTCCGAGAGGAGGGCGCCGACAGCTGGGAGCAGTGAGGTCGCCGACGTGGGAAGATCCGAGGTGGCTGAGCATCCGCTCGGCCACTCGTCTTCCGTCACTACGCTCTCCAGGAGGGAAGGGGCAGCTCCACATCGCCTTTCTCGGAGGAATCATTTGATTCACTGCGTGACTCTACGTCAAAGAAGGCGGTGACGTCGTCCTGCGCATAGCGTCCCGCCACAGAAAAAAAAACACTCAGCGGAGCTGCTACCAACAACGCCTTTTTCGAGGGAATCATCCGATTTACCTCGAGAAAAAAAACACGTTAGAAAAGGCGGTGGCATCGTCCAGCGGGTAGCAGCCCGCCACGGAAAAGCACTCCTCGGCACTTACCTTGAACAAGGGTACTTGTCTGCTTCTCCTCGGAGCTCACCTGGGCGGCAGGAGGTTGGCGTGGCGGAGACCCAGGCATCCTTAGCAAAGGTTGTGCCGGTCAAAGCTGGACAACTTTTCCTTCTTTGTTCTTCTGACAGTGCTAACTAGCTGGCTAAAGAAAAAATGGGGAGCCGATTACCCGGTCTCACCGTAATTTATACGGACCGGGGGGTGAGGCCCACACACAGCAGGTGGGCATGGACTAAAGTTTTTCAGTGCAGCGCTGAGCGCCTAGGGATAAACCCACCAGCGACAGCCTTAAAGGGCAAAGCCTATACGAAATAGAACATAGTTGTAGCTGCCTGGGTGGGGGTGGGTGCAGGTGACGGAGCAGGAGTTACTGCAGGATTAAAAATACTGATTAGGATTAAATACATGAGAACATCCCTCAATCTGATCAAGATCAGCTCTGCCACGATGAGACCACAGATCTGAAATGATTAAGGGAAGATCACGGGACTTAAGTCGACAGTGTGGGACGTCACATCTTCCCACAGCTGCTGGAGGTTCTTCCACACAAAACCTGGGTCCAAACCTTGTTTGTGAATCTCTAACTGGATCCATCAGGCCTTGGAGGAAGTTCTGAGGATGACTCTCAGCTACTACTACTGCAATTCCTAGCTCAGTACCTGAAAACTCATGGAGTTTAAGCCATTTTTACGCTGACTGAGGCTGATTAGCTGTGGCAGCCATTTTGAAGTGACTCTAAAAATCAAAGAAGTGTAGATCATTAGTTTCACTAAACTTGATCCAGAGGTTCATGAGATATTTTGCTAACAGAGACGACAAACAGACACAAACCGAAACGTTTTAATCTTTAGGGTAATAGCAGCAGCAGGTTGTTTGATGTTTTCTCAGACATTCAAGCAGGCTTCAGGTGAAGCCCCGCCCACCCGTTGTGTCTCCCTGACAGGACACCTGAGGTGGTCCTGGTGTCCAAGTCCCAGTCCTCGCAGGTTGTCCCACTGACTGTTGTTGAAACGGAGCCTCTGTAGTTCAAACCCAGCCCTTCGTAGCAGCTGTCAGGGTTCTCTGCAGCTGCAGGAGGAGGTGGAGGAGGTCAGGAGGAGACAGGAGGTAAAACAAATCAGCTGTTTCTGTCAAAATAAACAGAGAGCTGAATAACTCCTGAAACTGAGCTGTTATAGCTAAAAATGCAGAACTAGCTAAAAATTCAAAGAAGCAGAACATTAGCTAAAAGCTATAGGAAACACAAAAGTAAATAAATCAAATCCAAAAATATCAAAGTGCTAGCTAAAGCCTAAATATAGCAAGACACTAGCTAAAAGTTGAAAAACATTAGCAAATAGCAATAAGAAAAATCTTCAATGTTGCTAAAAGCTAAATGCAGCAAATGTTTACCTAAAAGGCAAAAGTAACAAAATGCTAGCTAAAAGCTCAAGGGAACAAGACTGGCTAAAGGCAAAAGTAGCAAAACAGTACTTGAAAGCTATGACATAGAATACTAGCTAAAAATCTAAATGCAACACAATCTGGTCAAAAGCTAAAATTAGCAGTTAGCTTGAGTGCTACTTTTTAACTGCCAGGCTATCTAAACTAAATGTAGCGAGGCACTAGCTGAAAGTAGGAAATAACTAGCAATAAAAAGTAGAAAACAAGCTAAAAAGCAACATGTTGATAAAAGCTAAAAGTAGCAAAAGGTTACTTATGAAATGAAAGTAGTAAAATTGTAGCTGAAAGCTATATACGTTAAAGCTAAGAGTAGCCAAAAGTTAGCTGAAAACTAAAAGTAGCAAAACAGCAGCTAAAAGCTAACAGTAGCCTGAGTAGAAGCCGAAAGAAGAAGAAAAAAGTGTTAGAAATTCAAGCTGTGATGCGTTCACAGAACCTCGGTCATTATAGCGCTATCTGCTGGCCACTTTATGGTTCTACCTAATTTAGACCACTAGATCAGACCAGTCTAATGTTGCCTTCAGGTGTCGTGGTGCCACTGGAATAATGACGTATTTCCAGTCTTTAGTGCTTAACTCGTGGTTTTGGTTTACTACGGATGGAAGCTGGCAGATAAAAAAATAAAAATAAAAAAAACAGTCAAGTAAATATTAAGAAGCCGGAACCCAGCTGTTTGGATCCTGCTCGGCTGATGGTGCCTTCACGAACAGTCAGAATTATCACAGTCTTGTGTTAAAGTTCATTAAAATTCAGTATTTTATAATTGGATACAAGTAGAAATCAAATTGCTTTACTTATTTATTTTTCAAGTAAACTTAATGTCATTTATTGATTCTTTTACTGTTTTTAAACAAATTAAATGTTTTTTTTTCACGTTGTAGTTGTGTTTTTAATTACGAGTATGAAACTAATGAAAACTTTATAAAAACAGAACAAGTCAGCCTTTTTGTATACATGTATTCTTTTTGTGCATTTTATTATCATCCCTTAAGGTTAAATAAATATTAAACCATCTTTTAATCACAACCATCTTTGAGTTCAGTGTGGTTATACAGTTTCCGAGCATTTCATGAACGCACCAGCAGCGCCGTTCTCCTGCTGAAGGTTCCTCCTCCTCCTCCTCCTCCTCCTCCTCCTGCAGGACGCGGATCCAGCAAACAGAAAATGGGAAACTCGGACACCAAACTTCACTTCAGGAAAGCTGTGATCCAGCTGACGACCCGAACTCAGGTCGGTTCTACTTCCTGTTGGGAAAAGAAAAATAAACTTTAGTGTTTTGTTTTTTTTCTTGGAGCGCCTGAGGAGAAAACAGCTCCAGATGGTAGCGTCAGGTGCAGCACACAGCTCTGAAAACAGGCTGGAAAACAAGAAAAACATTAAATTTAGTCATTAAATTAACAGAAACAAACGTTTCCTCTGAAATATTTAAACATTTCGCATGTTTTTTTAAGTTTTCCAGACTTGAACTCCTCATTTTTCAAGGTTTTGATGTCAGTGAACGCACCGCTGGACCCAATAAATAAAATATGAGTTCAATCAGCACCAACTTTGAGTTTAACAGAAGTTTTAAAGTTAAACTGACCTCACAGGCAGAGGTTTAACCTTTAAAGATGAACAATAAAATGCAAACGTGTTAAATGTTTGATGAAATTAAATGTTATTTCACATTTTTGGACATTTTAAGAACGAAATGTTTAAAAAAATAACAAAAAAGGACATAAAGGTTTTTAATTCTTACATTAAAAAAAAATCAAGTTTTGGTAAATATTTTAATTGTAAGTCTTCTTTAGTTGAAATGCGACCCTCAGGACGGAGGGGAGGGGCAGTGATTTGCATGTAAGTTCATCTGAAACAAAGGGAACTCGATTAGTTTCAACAGCTTTGAATTCCACGTTTGTTTTTTGAGCTCCTGGAATGAGAAGCGAAATGTTTTCAGAAACCAACAAGAAGCTGTCCTAAAAATGTTCCTCGCCGTCTGTGACAGTTGATTAAAACTTTTACGCAGAAAGTCTGAATCTGTGAGGAGCTCTGCTGCTCTGACAGGCAAAAGATTAAAAAGTTAAATTAGGTTCAAAGCTACGGACAGAACAGCAACACCGTAACATCGTTTTCTGTTTCCCGTCGTGTCTCCTGCAGCCGGTCGAAGCCACAGACGACGTGTTCTGGGATCAGTTCTGGGTCGACTGCTCCATCGCTGTTCAGGATGTGTTCGCTCTGGTTCCTGCTGCGGAAATCCGAGCTGTCAGAGAGGAGTCTCCGTCCAACCTGGCAACGCTCTGCTACAAGGTAATCTGTCTCTGTCCAACCTGGCAACCCTCTCCGACAACGTAACCATCTTTGTCCAACCTGGAAATTCTCTGTTAGAAAATAACCTGTTTTTTCAACCTGGCAACCCTGTGGTCACCTGTCCTCACCTGCATCAGGTGAGAACGTCGTATCTTTAATGGAGCACCTGTAGTAAACTGCTGATGATGAACCTTCAGATGTTTCCCTCCAACGTTTGGTCTGATGAGGAGGATCTTCTCTGGTCCTGGATCTGCTGCAGGATCAGGATGGATCTGGTTCTGGGCTCCAGTCTGGAACCTGTTTTAATGAAACCCACTCGTCAGGTTGCCAGAGCAGCTCGGCCTCCTCCGTTTTGTCCCGCATGAGGCCAGCTGCAGACAACAGGATGGGGCTGTTTCCACACTCAGAGGTCAAAGGTCATTCACTTAAAGACAAACTGTCCAAAAACAACAGATTAGGGAAACAATCCAAAATAATCCTGTTTTTAAGTCAAATAGTTTGAACAGCAGTTTGATCCGGTTAAAGAAAATGTGTCTAATTTAGTTGTATTTATTTAAATTATTTCTTCAGGAATCGTTGTGAACAATATTTCAGAGGAAACAACACGCCCATCATTTTTACACAAACCTACATGTTTTTACGTCAACCGTTGTTTTTTTAGTTACACAAACATCACAGTAAGTGAGGTTAGGTTCAGGATCATTATCCAAATAAAACATTCAGGGTTTTTTTCATGTAATGAAGAATTCAGCAGAAAAACTTCTTCAGTCTGGAGAACTTCTCAGAGTGTGACCTCCAGGAGACGATTCCTGTTTTTGATCAAATCTGCACTTGAGTCTCGGCGCGCAGCTTTTATTTAACTTGAAGTTTTACAGTAACTCCGTGAACTGATCTGATGAGAGGATTAATGTTTCAGCCGTTTGTTTTCAGGCCGTGGAGCGGCTCGTTCAGTGCGCCGACTCTGGCTGCCCCTCGGAGAAAGAGCGCCAGATGGTGCTGAACTGCACCCGCCTGCTCACCCGGGTCCTGCCCTACATCTTTGAGGACGCCGACTGGAGGGGCTTCTTCTGGTCCACCATCCCCGGAGCCTCCAGAACTGGGGTACGAGTCCCACAAACCTGCAGCTTTGAAGGCAGACTTCACATACAGTGGGAGTCAATGAGGGTTAGGGTACGAGAGTCCAACAGCCCTGAGGGACACCAAGTGGAAGAAGGAAAAAACCCCAGACATTTTGATGTTTTAACTGCACAAAGAAGATCCAGCAAAGGTCAGAGGTCCTCTGGACGAATTGTTTTTGTTAATAATAATAATAATAATAATCATTTTATTTAAAAAGCGCCTTTCATGACACCCAAGGACACAAAAAATATCTTGATTCTGTGAACCACTTCGATCATGACTGCCTCAAAAGAGTCGGCGGGGGAGAGGGCGGACTCCAGAAACCAGCTGAACACCATCCAACTGCTTGGTCCACCATGTGAAGGTGCTTTTTATATGACTGAGTTTGTTGTGGCTCCTGATGAAGACGAAACGTTTCAACAAAAACAATTCGTCCAGAGGACCTCTGACCTTTGCTGGATCTTCTGCCTGGATTATTGAGGAGCATCAGGAGGTTTGTTTGGAAAGTTTAGACAACTCAGCAGTTGGTGAGAACGTCCTGCAGAGCCTCAGGTTCAGACCTCAGAGCCCAAACGGGCCGTGGATGAAAAGAGTCGTAACCTGGAGTTCGTAGGCGCTAGCTGTCCCGGTAAACACCGTTCTGAAGTTTTAGACAAAACAAATTCATCTTTTTGTTTTCTTCCGGTTGACGAGAAACTCCAACATCATCAGCGTAGAATCACACGTTTCAAATGACCGTCAGTGTTGGTTTTCTGGTTCAAGCTGCAGATTAAAGTTTAGATCTGCAGCTTCCAGGTGCGTTTTGAACTAACAACAGATTATTTTAAGTATTTCAGCTGGATTTAGGAGTTAATCTGGAGTTTTCTGTTGGTTAAATAAAGAGTTGTCCAGTTTGAGACACGTGCATCATCACCATCATCATCATGAGAACGTCTGGGCTAAATATTCCTTCACACACTTTAAGGAACACACTCTGTGCTCTGTTTGTGCCGACAGTTTGCCCCCCCCCCCCCCCCGACACAAAGCTCGTTGACAGAAAGTTGTTTGGTGTCTTGAAGTCGTTGACGTTTCCTCCTGACTCCCACAGTTCCTCCTCCACCTCAGTCCAGCGCTTCCATTATCAGACACTGGATTCCTCCGTACTCAGCCACTAACAGGGCGGGGGGGGGGGGGGGGGGGGGGGGGGGGGCCGGTACAATATGAGCAGTGTTTGCTGCGTGGTCTCCAGTCCAGCAGGTAACTAGAGACCCCCCCAGCCTTCAGGGTGGGAGTAAATGGGGGGGCAGTGTGTGGACGGAGACCTCACAGGTTTTATTTCCACCGCAGCCTGTTTTTTTACCTGAGCCTCAGCTCTTCACCTGGCTGTCCCGGAGCCACTTCAGATGTCTTTGCTCCAACGAGAGGACGTCCGTCTGGTTCTGATCCTTCCATCAGACCCGTCCAGGTGCCACCATCATCACCTACATAAAGTCCCCCTCAACAGGAAGCATCACCCTACTCTCCCCCTTTGACCTCTGACCCTAACCACACCCTGAACCGTGACTACAGAAAGTCTTCCTCTGGTCTGAAGAACAGGTTCACAGTCGGAGGAGGTTGAACCCGTCCGTCCTGAAGCTACACGACGAGAAGCTCCAGGTGCCGTCATCGACTCGTCTCGTCTGTTTCTAGGTTTAGGAAACAGTTTTTGACCATTTAAAGTCTTTTGTTTTAATTTCTATTAAAGCTGCTGAGATTCAAGACAAACTTCAGACATCTTCTGACAGTACCACGGGAAGGCTTGGTACCAGGACCCGTTTGGTTCTCACCGCTCTCCTCTGGATTTAGAAGCTCCTTCCCTCAGATCTTCAGATCAGATTACACTGAAGTTCTTCATCATGGAGCCCAGTCAGGAGAATGTGCCCGGGCAGAGTGCGAGAATCATTTTTATAACTTTATCAGCTCTCAGCTCAGGCAGACACTGATGACCTCGAGCACACAGCTGCACATGCAGGATCAGTTCAGCTCCTCATTCAGGCCTCTCTGAGATACAAAAGAACTCAAACACATGATTCATTCTCCAGTTAACATTCTCAACCATAGTTTAAAAAAAAACTTCATAAACCTTGAACAAATTCTCCGACATCTTCCTGTCGAAGTCAGGACGGTTCAACGGAGATCTTTAAATCATAAATAAACCTTCTTCTTTTTAAGATGCTTTAGTTTGACACACCAGCGGTTGAACCTCCTCTTTGTAGTTTATTTAGTGTAGGTTTAAAAGGGGCGGGGCATCAATAAAAATGTTCCTAAAACTTCAACGACTCACTAACCATCAGCTCGTAGCTCAGCAGAGTCTGGATATCTGCAGACAAATGTAGGAGAACAAAGTCAAAACAAGTTGGGGAAGGTGGGATTATTTGAATAAAGCAAAGTTTGACTCCTTTAAATCAGATTAGGATGATGGATTAGGATGGATTATACAGTAACCTTCACATCTTTATTGGTGTGTGTTTCAGAGTTCACATGAAGACGGTGAGACTGAAGCTCGTCCGCTGGCTGAGTCTCTGCTGCTCGCCGTCTCCAACCTGCTCTTCTGCCCTGATTTCACCGTCCAGACCCACAAGAGGAGCAGCCTGGTCAGTGGCTTTCAGCTGAAACGTCTCGGACTAGTCAGAGTGGGGAAATGATCCACAGACAATGAAAATGCTGCGCTGAAGTTAAATGGCTGTTTTGTTTTCAACATGAATTCAGGGATGTCCTGCGACCGCGGCCAGCTGGACGTGTCTGATCTGATTTAGACTGAACTTTGAGCACCTGAAGAAAAGCTTGAACGGACTGTCGTCACCTCCTCGTGACTCAGACTGAAATAATCCGTTTCAAACTTCTTCACAAAGGAAACGTCTCTACTGGGAGTTCTTCAGCCTGGTCGGGCCGTCCTCTCCTCCGGCGGTAGCGCGAGTTAATCAGTGACTCGTGAACGCAGAGGGAGGCTGGTGGTGTTTGAACAGGGTGGATGCTCCTTAGCAAACACCTTTAAAGGCTGGAGGTCCGTCCCCCTCACACAGAGCCGCTGTTTGTTTCCACCTCTGTGACCCACCAAGCACACAAAGGCTGGTCCGCTCGCTGTCCAGTAAAGGTCCGGTTACTGTGGGGTCAGAATGTATAGTTCCGTGTAAAAGTCTTCAGCAGGGTTTTATCACTAAGACCCTGGGGGGGCTCTGTGAGTATGGGGTATGTTGCTATGGACCATTCAGTCCCTAAACAAACTGAAAGTCTGGTTCACATCGGACCCCTTCAGGGTGGGAGTTGGACCACCAGGGCTGCTCGTTGTCACTGATTCTGTTCATAAATTTTATGGACAGAACTTCTCGGTGCAGCCGGGGGGGAGGAGAGAGTCTGGTTCAGTGGCCTCAGGATTCATCTCTGCTCTTTGCAGACGATGTGGTCCTGTTGGCTCATCGTGCCGCGATCTTCAGCTCTCTCTGGAGCGGTTCACAGCTGGGATGAGAATCAGGACCTCCAATCTGAGGCCACGGTCCTCGGTCAGAACGGGGTGGATTGTTCTCTTCAGGTCGAGGGTGAGGTTCTGCCTCAAGTGGAGGAGTTCAAGTATCTCAGGCTTTAGTTCATGAGTGAGGGAAGAACGGAGCGGGAGCCCAACACACAGGTCGGTGCAGCTTCCACAGTACTGCATACTCTGCGCTGGTCCATTTTGGTGAAGAGTGAACTGAGCTGTAAGACAAAGCTCTCTGTTTACTGGTCAGTCCACGTTCCTGCCCTCACCTCTGGCCACAAACTGGGTAGAGACTGAAAGAACAAGACTTTAGATCCAGGAGGTTGAAATGAGTTTCCTCTGCAGGGCAGCTGGACTCTCCTTAGACATCGGGTGAGAAGTTCAGTTATCAGGAGAGACTCAGAGTAGAACTGCTGCTCCTCCACATCCAGAGGAGCCAGTTGAGGTGGTTCAGACATCTGGTGAGGATGGACACCGTGGAGACACTCTGTCTCAGCTGACCTGGGAACACCTTGAAGTCCTCCTGGAAGAGGAGGCTGTGGAGAGAGAGGTCTGGACCTCCCTGATCAAGCTGCTGCCCCCGAGATCTGAGTCCAGAACAAGATGGACAGACACCAGTCCATTATTTCCAGGTGACCATTAAAGGTTTCTGAACTCAATCTGGACTTTGATTCAGTCCTCCATCCTGATCAAACACGGGGTGACAGTGGAGAGGAATGACCCTCCTTTAACACGAAGCAGAACCAGACTCTGGCTGAGGGAAACGTTCGGTTTCATCTTCGCAGTGTCAGAACTTTCAATCAATCAGTCTGTTCCGATCAGATTTCATGAACTTATTGATCAAACAATCAGCTGATTCTCCTCGGTGTGTGTTGGTGGAGACGTGGTTGCACTTGAACGCAGCGCGGCTCCTCTGCTCCCGGGTTATTTAAAGGAGCACGAAGCTGCTCTTATCTGCAGCGACGTGTCGCTCCAGGAGTTCTGGGTTCTGTCCCCGTCACGTGGTCCAAACGGGTCCAGCGCTCACTTCAGAACGTCTGAACGGTTCTGTCAGCGAGGAACGTTTCACTTCAGGAACTAAACTTTAAATAACTTTTTGTTAGTTTAATAAATGTTTGAAGTTAGTTTCCAACATGTTATTAATTAACTTAGTTTGTCACGTTAAAAGAATAATGCATTTTAAGTCATTATTATTAATTCTACCTGGGTTTTAGTCGTTAAATGGTCAGTTTTACACGTTTAATCAATGTTTTCACGTTGCCGTGGTAACGCTGTGTCTGTCCCTTCAGAGCATCTTTTCAGGTGAACGAGGTTCAGCTCGGAGGACAGGAGTGACTTTGAATTTGTTGTTTGTTTCAGGACGCGTCGGAGGAGGTGCGCTCCATGGACAGCTGTGAGTACATCTGGGAGGCGGGGGTCGGCTTCGCTCAGTCGCCTCCGCTGAACTACGTCCACGACCTGAACAGGTGACGCTGCACACCCACGCTGCTGCTCTGTTTGCTGTTTAAGTGCGAAACAACAGTCTTTTTAAAATAATGGAAAAAAAAAAAAAAAAAGTTTTCTTTGTCTCATTTGGACCAAAGTTACTGTTTTAATTCCAAAACAAAAGCGCTCAGTTCTAATTTTTATTATTAGCAGAAATTATTTTGCTGATGTGGTTGAACATCAGTCCGTGTTCATCGATCGTTTTATCCCGTCCAGAGATTTTATTCTGAAGTGATTCATTCGTTTTCTGCACTTCTTGATCGAACGATAACAACTCATGAAACTTATCTTAAAATAAAAGTTGTAGAATAGTTTTTAGAAAAGCCTCAGTCTGTTGGAGCCAAATAGAAACGTTAATCAAATCAACATCCTGTTTGTTTGTTTGTTTGTTTTGAGGACGGAGCTGCTGAAGCTGCTGCTCACCTGCTTCTCTGAAGCCATGTACCTGTCTCCTTCATCTGACCGCAACGTGCTCAACCCCTGGGTCTCCTTCTTCTGCTCTGCAGAAAACAGGTAAACAACCAGTAAACAGCAGGTAAATGGCAAGTAAACAACTGGTAAACGGCAAGTAAACAACCGGTAAACAGCAGGTAAACAGCAGGTAAACGGCAAGTAAACAACTGGTAAACAGCAGGTAAACAACCGGTAAACAGCAGGTAAACAACCGGTAAACAGCCAGTAAACAGCAGATAAACAACCGGT